TGTCTTGTCCTGGGAAGATGACGAAGCTTTCTCTTCCCTTGGCAGCTCCCTTGGAGGGAGAGATTGGGGGCATCGCATGGACTTGTGGACAGATGGAGATGTCCCTCTTCAGTGGCGGGGGCGGTCTCGGTTCTGCCCCCTGCATTGGGAGAACAGTAAACTATCAGAGCCTGGCTGGTTGGCTCCAGGCCCCTGGCATGACCATCCTGCCTCGGGCTCGCCCCTGCTAGGAGCTGCCACGCTTGCCAGCTCTCAGGCGCTCTGTCGCAGGTTGAGCATGGAGTCCTGCAGGAAGGCGGAGGGGTTCATGTAGGAGCAGCCTCAGAATGGCTGAGACCAGGATAGCCTCTGACACCTTCTCCTCATTCACTCCTTCATGCATCTGCTGAGCGTCAGCTCTGTACCAGGCACCTGGGACACAGCAGTGAATTGAGTCCCCGGAACCCACTGATCCAGTTGGAGCTGCTGAGAGCTCCAGCATCCACAGGACCCTCAGTCATCTTTCTCTCAATATAACTGAGGTGTGAAACCCACAAAAGCCCCCACCCCCATAATTCTCCCTCCCAGATGTGAAGAGCATGTATCCAAAGGCTGGCAGAGGCCCCAAGTGCCCAGTTGTCAGAACTCCTCCTGTCCTGCAGGGAAGCCATTTACTGGGTTGGAAAAGGAAATGGCAACCCACTCCAGTGTTCTTGCCTAGAAAATTCCATGGGCAGAGGAGCCTGGTGGGCTACAGTCCATGGGGCCGCAGAGAGTCAGACACAACTGAGTGATTGGGCATATTTACTGGGTAAGTGAGTGATCTGATGGGAAGACTCTAGGTGAGCCTTACATGAGCCCCCTCGCACAGTGGACCACGTGGCTGGAGGGAGTGCCTTCAGCTCAAGCAAGTCCCTTCTTCCTCTCGGGACAGAGCCTGTCGCAGCACTTGGTCACCAGTTCTCTGGTCCACCAGCACCCCCAAGTTGTTCTTCTCTGGGCCCACCACGGGACCCTTTTCACTGATGGGACCCAAGCATCCAGCTCTGGGGCCCTGGCCTCCAGCAGCTAAGGGATTAGGTGTACGAGGCTGGATCCAGCTTCACATTGGGCTCTCTGCCCATAGAAGAGCAGCCATTGCCCCTGGCCCCACAGTGATCACATCCAGACCTCCCAGGCTCAGGGATGTTCCTCCCCATCTGCAGTGCGGTTTGGCCTCAGGACTGCTTCCTGGCAGCTGGCATCTGTGTTAGGGCTGGGAGAGGATCAGCTTCTGCTCCTAGCTCGGTGCTGAGCCAAACTGTGGGTGTTCAGTTAGAAGCATCTGGACTTGGACGGGGCTTGGTGAGGGGTCTAGGGCAGTGAAAGGTTGATTTGGAGAAGGTGGTGTAGTCACCTGTGGATCCTTGAATGCTGAGCTCAGAAAGTTTCACATTCATGTTAACATCATAGTGAAGACAACTCCCCATTCTGGTTCCCCCACCCCCCTCCGCCCGCCCCATACTCTGCCAATGGAACCCTGCTTCAGGCAGCTATGAGCTGCAGGAAGGGGTGGGGATGGAGGGAAGGGCCTGAGGGCTCTGCAACCTTAGAAACGTTCTGGGCTGCCCATCAGTCAGAGGGCAATGTCCACCAGGGCAAGGAGCCACCTGCCGCCATGTTCAGAGCCTGGGCTGCGGTCAGGCTGGGCCTTCATCCTTCCAGTGGCCACACCTTCCAGAGGCTGGGCAGAGCATGCAGGGCTCTCTCTCCCACCCCCAGCCCCAAAGCCCCTCCACCAGTGTGAACCTGAGCCTCCCCGCAAAGGCTGCCACCAACTCAGCTACAGAGATGCAGGGACATACCTGGTGGCCTTCCCTGTCTTTCTCAGCATCATGACAAAGGCAGTTAAAACTCCAGGACCTGCAGAAGTGTCTCCTTCACAAAAACAGGTCCTGACCCCGGGGCAAGGCCACCTTCAGTTCCAATCTTCCCAGCGACCTTGCCCAGGGACAGCAAATGTCTGAGATGTCCTGCCTGGGTAGGGCCACTCCAGACAGAACTGCCGAGGCTCTCCAGCCTTGTGTATAGTGGGCACGGGCCCTGGTTTGGGGTGACTAATCTGCACCTGCCCTTTGGAGGACCCACCCTGGTCTCACAGTGACAGGGTTGCTGTGTACCCCTCGGAGCAGAAGTGGCTGGCTTCAGTCAAAGGGAAGCAGGGTCCTCTGGGTTTGAATGGACTGTTTTCTGTGGACGGTGAATGTTGCTTCTGAGAATAATGTCTCCGAAACTCAGGGTTTACAGCACCTAGAATTCTTCATCTTTTAAATCTCAAAGGTGCTTGTGATCCTAGAACCTGATGCTTTGGGATCTGGAAGAGATCTTCGAGACAACATACATGGCCCATTGTGGCACCTGGAAATTGAACAGCCTCACTTGCTGGCTTCTGAACACATTCCCCCACCCCCTCCCCGCAGTCAGGGGCCCCCATTCCTCAGTTGGTGTCCAGGGTCACCTCATGCCAGTTCTGATCTCTTCAGTCAGTTCAGCTGCTCAGTCGTGTCCAACTCTTTGTGACCCCATTGACTGCAGGACGCCAAGCTTCCCTGTCCATCACCAACTCCTAGAGCTTACTCAGACTCAAGTCCATCAAGTTGGTGATGCCATTCAACCATCTCATCCTCTGTAGTCCCCTTCTCCTGCCTTCAATCTTTCCCTGCATCAGGGTCTTTTCTAATGAGTCAGTTCTTCACATCAGGTGGCCAAAGCTTCAGCATCAGTCCTTCCAAAGAATATTCAGGACTTATTTCCTTTAGGATGGACTGGTTGGATCTCCTTGCAGTCCAAGGGACTCTCAAGAGTCTTCCCCAACACCACAGTTCAAAAGCATCAATTCTTCGGCGCTCAGCTTTCTTTATAGTCCAACTCACATCCATACGTGACTACTGGAAAAACCTAGACAGGCCCATTGGTAGCTTGTGGCAGTGCTCGCCCTTACCTCCAGGGGGCGCTAGAGCAGAGTAACCAGACAATTGCATGAGACCCTGCCAGGTCACTCTCAAGATAGGTGCTCACACCCTCCAAAAGCCTTCTGAAACGTTTCCCTGTTCCCAGTAACCCCCACCCAGAACTCGGGACATAGAGAAGGGAGATGTCATTAGTGGCCATTTATGCGATAATGTAACTGGAAAAGCAAGCTTTTCACATGAAACAGCTTGAGGACCCAACAAGTGTGGTCAGGCAGAAAGCACTGGTAAGCCTGGGGCTCAGGGAACAGCTGGCTTGGGAGGAGCCCCTGGTTATTAGGTCCTGGGATCAGCTCAGAATCTCCCCTGGATCCTATAGACCCCTGAGCCTGTCTGCACAGCCTCCTTAAGGTCCTCACCACAGGCAGGCAGGGGGAGAACTAAGGCCCTGTGTTGGAGATAAGCAGGTGGAGGCCAGAGAAGCTCAGGGTCTCCGCAGAATTGGTGGTGACGTGGAGGCAAATACAAAGACTGACTTCTCTCCTGATTCCTAGTGCCCTGTATGTTGTCTCGAAGATCTCTTCCAGATCCCAAAACATCGAGTTCTGACTTGTGGGGTAGAACCAGGCTCCACCCTCCTTGTTCTGGACATTGAACATCCACTGTAAAATAGATAGCTAATGAGAAGCGGCTGTGTAGCATAGGGAGCTCAACTCAATGCTTTGTTGGTGACCTAGAGGGGTAGGATGGGAGTGGGGGGAGGTCCGGGAGAGGATATATGTGTACATATAGCTGATTCATGCTGTCCTACAGCAGAAACTGACACAGCGTTGCAAAGCAATTATATTCCAACCACAACAAAATAGAAGCAAACCACCCACTGAATAGGACCTAAACGGTGAGCATTCCCAGAGGCCCCGCCTGCATTCCCTCTGATGAGCCTGCTGTCTACCAAATCCCCAGCTCGAGGGTGTCCAGGTGGGTGGAGAAACCAGGATCAGTTAAGCTCCAGAGACTACTCCCTGTGGCCTTAAACGTCCTCAGGGGATGGTTTGAGCTGCCAAGTCGGATATCTACCCCACAGGTCAGACCTTGCAGTGTGTTCCAATGAGAGCAAGCAGGGCAATGGAGACTCTCAGGAGCTGCTGAAGAAGGGCTGGAGGTACTGGATGTGTTGACTTCTCTGTGAAGAGAAGGCTCTAATTGTGCTCAACGTTTGCAAATGATGACTCCCTCTGGAAGGGGCAGGGACCTTATTCTGTGGCCCCAGGATGGAGATAGGGCTGGAGGGGAGCCATAAGGAGGGCGCTTAGAGCCTGGTAGATGGAGAGAAGAGCACCGGGTCACAGGGGCTTTGGTCTCAATTCCCTTGCCTCGGTTGACAGCATCTGGTCCCCGAGGGAGGTCACAAGATGGACAACCTGACCTTTCTCCAGCTGGCAGCCCTCACACTGGAGAAGTCAGGTTCTCAGAATGCAGGGCCTGCTGGGGCCTGAAACTTTGGGGACAGGGGCACCAGCACCAAGGGGACTCTGGGCACACTGTCTTAGGAGAGAGATCTGTGCCCTCGCCCACGTGCCCATCTTTGGAGAGCGAGCAGACCCTCCAGAGGAGAGGGGCAGAAGCACTGAGCCCCCACATGGCTGTGCTGCACTCCCAGGAGGGAGCTGGGACCCTTGGGCCTTGCCAGCTGCAGTGGAAAAAATTAGTTTGGAATAACTCAGGCGGTATTTTCCTTTGGCAAAAAAATAAAAGAATGCATATTATTTTAAAAGTATTTTTATTTAAAGGATTTCTCTAACCGTCCAGTGGTTAAGACACCATGCTTCCACTGCAGGGGGCATGGGTTCGACCCCTGGTTAGGCAACTAAGATCCCACATGCTGTGCAGTGCAGTCAAAAAAAGAGCATAAATAAATACATAATAAAATTAAAAGGTTTCATAAAAGTATTTTTAAAGTAACCTTCATCATTTTTCCAATTATAGAAGTACTTGCTATAGAAATTTTTTAATTTTTTTTTAATTTTTGATTCTGTTTTTTTGTTTTTTATAATGAGTTCTTTTTAAGCCATGTCATACATTTCCCATACGGATATCGCATGATCCATTATAATATAGGCAGGGGGATTTACTAATGGTGGGGCGTGCCATACCCTCCACTTCAGCCAGGCAGTTCGACCTGCAGCTGCTGTTCCTGCACACCTCCGCCACATGCCTCTCCTTTTCCTGCAGACGTTCAATAATAGCAGCTAGATTCGCCTCACGGTTTTCCTTGATTTGCTCCATCTTCAGGATCCGCTCCTCCTCCGCCATCCTGCTGAAGTTGTTGTTCTCCTCCAAAGCCTTCTGGAGGAACTCTCGCTCATGTTCCCGCTTCTCCGCCAGTTGTTTCAGCACCTGAGCCTCCTGAGACTTTCTTCTTTCCTCTGCAGCCTCCAGTTTTTTCCAGATCTCCTCCAGGGACAGGTCTTCCTTCTTGGGAGAAGCTAAAGTTCGTGGAGCTTCTGAGATGGGAGATGGTGGTTTTAAGATCAGCTCAAAAGCCTGGCCGGAGGCACGCTTGTTGATTTGCTTCACTTCCATATCATCGTAAGTATAGATTTTGATGTTGCGAGGTTCCGGGTAGAAGCAAGAGCAGATCAAGGACAGCATGGACAGTTCCTTCATTTTTTCCTTGTAGGCCATTGCTGTTTTAGCCATTGTAGGGATGTGCAGATGCTAAGCGGTGGCGAAGGCAGAGGGTCCAGCTACAACAGCGCAGAGAGCGAGAGAGAAGCAGAAATTTTTGAAAATATGGAAAAGCACATAGAAAACTAATCTCACTTTTCATCCTATCACATATTATAGCTATATTTTGGTCTATTATAGCTATATTTTGGTTTCTCTCTCTTTTTAAGCATGTTGGAAAGACATGTCCATTTCCATTGGTCACCAGCTTGGGGTGCCCTCATGTTCACAGTCTAACCCCCAAGGACTGGTGCGAGAGTGCCTCCCACCCTGAGATGTCCTATTTCCTAAGGAATTGGGGTGGGGACATCTTGGGGTGACCAGGCTTATTCCTGGGCTCAGTGGTCAGGCTCCCCATTGCTCTTGGCCTCTTGGATCATGCCCCTCATAATGGTCCTACTCTTGATGCACCAGCCCTTGGTCCACCGTCCCTGACATTTTCTGACCTACCATGGGACCATGATCACCATCACTGATGACACCTAAGCATTTTGCTTTCGAGGCCCTCTCTTCTGGCCCTGGAACTTTCCTCAAGCTCCTCCCCCCTCCCCAGCCCACCTCCATCCTCTGAAATATTCGGTGGTGTCATGACATGCTTGCCATCCTCAGAAGGGTAGGAGATAGTGCCAGCCTTCATGCTTTAGAGACTGTATTTGGCTTCAGAGCATCATGACTCTCTCTCCCTGCCATGGCTGCACATGGCTGATATGTGCACATATCACATATGGCCATGCACATAAGCCTTTTAAAATCGCAAATTGCCTTGCAGCCTGCTTTTTTATTTTTTTCCTTTTTTTCTGCCTTTTTCACTTAAAAAAAACAAACCTACTATCTTATAGTTCTTTTTCCTTTGTACAAATATAAACATTCTTCAAAAATACCATTTTGAAGGGTTGTGTCACTGAATAGCTATATTGTAATATATTGTAGCATCTGAGCTTCCAAGTATTGCTATTCATCATTCTTTTTACTGATCATCTCTGTCCATAATTTTTTGTTTGAATTTCTAATTATTTTCTGTGAGAAAATTCTAAGACATTTAAGTTTTCTAGTATTTTTAAATATCCTTGGTATGTTCTGTGAGAGTGTTTCTAGAAGAGGTACACCTGGCTTATTTTTATGCAAGTGCCAGCCCCAATCTGAGAGGGCCAGTGTTATGGGTCTCTCCCAGCTTAGAGTAACACCAGTAAAGCGAATCTTAGTATCAAAAAGCAAACAATGGTATTTCAGAATGATAACTTAAATGATTATCCACAAAACAAAAGCATTCATAATTACTAAGCAATTTTTAATTTGGGGGAATCAATTATCTGCTTCTGTTCCCTGTTTTTCTAACAAGTATTGATGGATTTGGGGCTTCCCTGGCAGCTCAGCAATAAAGAATCCACCTGTCATTGCAGACGTGGGTTTGATGCCTGGGTTGGGAAGATCCCTTGGAGAGGAAAATGGCAACTCATTCCAGTATTCTTGCGTGAGAAATCTCATGGACAGAGGAGCCTGGCGGGCTACAGTCTATGGAGTCACAAAAAAGTCAGACACGACTTAGCAATTAAACAACAACAAATTGATGGACTTTTTTAAAAATCATTTTATGAGTTCTCTATCCACTGCCATTGTGATATTTGTGGTGTATGTGTTTAATGAGTGTGTTGATTACTTTTATGTTTGTTTTTGATAGTTTTTAACATACCAAATCTTTACGTTTCTACATTGGCGTTTCCTTTTGTGACATTGTTCATCGCTTAGAAAATCCTTCTTGGGAAATAGCTCTTTAAATGGGTCAAGAGGTTGCCTCTTCCTCTTCTTGCTTCTCTATTTTTGGTTGATTTTGAACAAACATCCTTTTCCCAAATCCCATTTTCCCTGCAGTGTCTGGAATGTGCTTGCTTTTATTTCTTCCTTCCCTTGAGGCCAGCGGGTTGGAGCGGCAGTAGACCACATGACATAGTGTGATGATTTCTTCGTGGAGAAACTGGAGTGGGGAGGTATGGGCTCTAGAAATGGTTTGCTCTCCATCTTCAAGGTGGCTGTGCTCTGCTCTAAAAGATGTCTGATCTCTCCCGCCAAAGAAAGGAAAATGCTGTTCAAAAACCTCTTAAATATGGGCTTCCTTGATGGCTCAGTGGTAAAGAGTCTGCCCGCCAATGCAGAAGATGCAAGAGATGCAGGTTTGATCCCTGATCCAGGAAGATCCCACATGCCACAGAGTAAATAAGCCCGTGTGCCATGACTGCGGAGACTGTGCTCCAGGGTTCTGGAATCACAACTATTGATGCCCTAGTGCCCTAGAGCCTGTGCTCTGCAACAAGAGAAGCCACCGCAATGAGAAACCCACACACCACAACTAAAGTAGCCCCTGCTTGCCTCAACTAGAGAAAAGCCCACACAGCAACAAAGAACCAGCACAGCCAAAATAAATAAAATTATATATATACACACACACACATACACACACACACACACACACACACACGCACACACACACACATATATATATATATACCTTTTGAAGTGAAGTGAAGTTGCTCAGTTGTGTCCGACTCTTTGTGACCCCATGGACTATAGCCTACCAGGCTCCTCGGTCCATGGGATTTTCCAGACAAGAGTACTGGAGTGGGTTGCCATTTCCTTCTCCGGGGGATCTTCCCGACCTAGAGATCAAACCCGGGTCTCCCGCATTGTAGACAGACACTTTACTGTCTGAGCTACCAGGGAAGCATATACCTCTTAAATGTAAGGTTGTTGTTCAGTTGCTCAGTCGAGTCTGACTCTTTGCCACCCCATGGACTGCAGCACACCAGGCTTCCCTGTCCTTCACCATCTCCTGTGAAGTGAAGTGAAAGTCTCTCAGTTGTGTCTGACTCTTTGTGAGCCCATGGACTATACAGTCCATGGAATTCTCCAGGCCAGAATACTGGAGTAGGTAGACTTTCCCTTCTCCAGGGGATATTCCCAACCCAGGGATCGAACCCAGGTGTCCCAAATTGCAAGTGGATTCTCCTCAAACTCATGTCCACTGAGTCAGTGATGCCATCCGGCCATCTCATCCTCTGTCATCCCCTTCTCCTGCCTTCAATCGTTCCCAACATCAGGGTCTTTTCCAGTGAGTCGGTTCTTTGAATCAGGTGGCCAAAGTATAGGAGTTTCAGCTTCAGCATCAGTCTTTCCGATGAATATTCAGGACTGATTTCCTTTAGGATGGACTGATTTGATCTCCTTGAAGTCCAAGGGACTCTCAAGAGTCTTTTCCACCACCAGAGTTCGAAGGCATCAATTCTTCCACAAGCAAAGACCAACTGTGTATGGCCAGATGAACTCAAAGGGCTGATTCCTGTGCTTTTGGGCAAGATGGTCCTGGCCCCTTGGCAATCAGCCTGCCTGGAGACCTTGAGGGTCTGTGGGTCCCAACCTGTGGTTTAACCATCTCTCTGCCATGGACCCACTGGAACCATATGCCCATATAGCCAAACAGCAACCTACTGCTTGCTTCTGCAGGGAGAGCACCCAAATGGCGCACCGTGGGAAGTTCCCTCAGCTCGAAGCCAGGATGCCAAGTTCTAGCCCCTGCTCTGGCTCCTCCCAGCTGCACCACCTTGAGGAGTTTTCCTTTTGTGGGAGGAAATCTGTAACATTCAACTTGCAGGGTCGGTGAGAAGATTAGCTGATTGTGCCTTGTGCATCATCTGGGGCACAGGTGGCACAATGGTGCTTGCTCATCTGGTGATAACGAAGCTGCCACTGCTAAGGAGCGAACTAGATTTGTCCATGAGATCTCTTCAAGAGTGTGGCAAAGATGGCCAAAGTGTGGGGCAGGGAAGAGAGTCAAGAAAACTCCAAGGTAAACTTAATTGTTATTTCTCTACTATTCAGAAATACCAGATTATCAGTCGCTCAAAGCATCAACGGATCTTAGAAGAGGAAGTTTGGTGTGGTGACTAAGCAGAGGGCTTTGCAGTCAAGAAGTGAGTTCCTAACAGTTTCCGGGTCTGCCCCTTCTAACTGTGTGACCTTGGGCAAGTTACTTATCTTCTCTGAGCCTTTAGATTCTGCATTGTAATACGGGGCTATTAGCAGTTCCCCACTTTGTAGGGCATTGTGGGAATTAAACAAAATACCTATAAAATTAGGGCACATGTGTAGTTATCTTCTAGACTAGATCACCTCTGAGAGTGAAAGGAGGCATTATAAATAATGTCGAGTGTCCGAGGACAACCCCAGGCAAACCAGGGCATTTGGCCACACTGTGAAGAGCGTACACAGGGCTTGCTTGAATATAATGGTGATAGGGACAGAGTAAAGGGACAAAGTAAGTGATTAAATAGCTAATCCCACTAGTGAACTGTAAGTAGAAAAAATATGGGAGGCCCCTGTAAGTTAATGATTACTCAAGAAAGCAGGTTTGCATAACCACAATACCAGGTAGGTTTGTGTGTGTATGTCGGTGTTTAGTCACTCAGTCATGTCTGACTCTTGTGACCGCATAGACTATAGCCCGCCAGGCTCCTCTGTCCATGGGATTCTCCAGGCAAGAATACTGGAGTAGGTTGCCATTTCCTTCTCTAACCAAGTAGGCTTGCTTAGCAAAAAAACCACTCAACAGAAGCACGAGGCATGCCCCCCAAAACAATAAATCAATGGTGGCATGAGACCCACATCCTGCCCAGTGAGCTCTGTAAGTTAATGATCCCTAGGACGTACTCTCTACACACACACTCACTCACACATACACACACAAAAGAATAGTTTGTGAACGTAGCTTCACCCTATAGCGATAAGAACACTCCCCTGCTCAACCTGGAGGAGGAGCTGGTGATGGAAGCTGATGATGGAAGCATGCCATCTACTCAAGAAAGAGTAGATTTTCCTTTGTTATAAAACTATAGCCCAGTAAATTCTAGGGGGCACAGCACCCCCTCACCCACCCACTTGTAAGCCTCACAAACGTCCTGTTCTAATAAATCACTTCTTGTCTACCACTTTGTCCCTTGCTGAATTCTTTCTGCACTGAGACATAAAGGACCAGGAACTCTTCAGAGTCCCCCTA